GCCTGCAGAAAGGGATAACATTTGCATAACATAACATTCTAGAAAAAAAAATGACTCTCATGCTGATTTAAAGAATAAAATTAAGGAAAAAAAATGCTTACCAGTTTTATTTATTTTTAGTTAAATTAACGTCAGTCGTGTATATGTCTGTGGTCTATGACATTACACCTAGTTAAATTAACGTCAGTCGTATATGTGTCTGTGGTCTATGACATTACACCTAGTTAAATTAACGTCAGTCGTATATGTGTCTGTGGTCTATGACATTACACCTAGTTAAATTAACGTCAGTCATATATGTGTCTGTGGTCTATGACATTACACCTAGTTAAATTAACGTCAGTCGTATATGTGTCTGTGGTCTATGACATTACACCTAGTTAAATTAACGTCAGTCGTATATGTGTCTGTGGTCTATGACATTACACCTAGTTAAATTAACGTCAGTCGTATATGTGTCTGTGGTCTATGACATTACACCTAGTTAAATTAACGTCAGTCATATATGTGTCTGTGGTCTATGACATTACACCTAGTTAAATTAACGTCAGTCGTATATGTGTCTGTGGTCTATGACATTACACCTAGTTAAATTAACGTCAGTCGTATATGTGTCTGTGGTCTATGACATTACACCTAGTTAAATTAACGTCAGTCGTATATGTGTCTGTGGTCTATGACATTACACCTAGTTAAATTAACGTCAGTCGTATATGTGTCTGTGGTCTATGACATTACACCTAGTTAAATTAACGTCAGTCATATATGTGTCTGTGGTCTATGACATTACACCTAGTTAAATTAACGTCAGTCGTATATGTGTCTGTGGTCTATGACATTACACCTAGTTAAATTAACGTCAGTCGTATATGTGTCTGTGGTCTATGACATTACACCTAGTTAAATTAACGTCAGTCGTATATGTGTCTGTGGTCTATGACATTACACCTAGTTAAATTAACGTCAGTCGTATATGTGTCTGTGGTCTATGACATTACACCTAGTTAAATTAACGTCAGTCATATATGTGTCTGTGGTCTATGACATTACACCTAGTTAAATTAACCTCAGTCGTATATGTGTCTGTGGTCTAAGACTTCACACCAAGCTTTACAATAGTAGAGCCGGGTCGAATTAGTGACGACTATTAGGGGCAGATAATTAAGTTTTTAAACCGATTTGAAATTAAGGGGAGGTAACAAGTTCTGCTTGATCTGTTCATTTTCGTCTGTAAACTGTCGTCAGGGACGGCTGCTTTCTAGGCAGAGGCGTAGCGACCCTTCCCGGCGCCCGGGGACAAACTTTTCGATTTGCACCCCCCCTCCCTCAAGATTTTGATTTGCACCCCTCCTCAAACTTTCGATTTGCACCCCCCCCCCCCTACTCAAGATTTCGATTTGCACCATCCTCAACCTTTCAATTTATTTTTCCAACCCATTTTGGCGCCCCCTAATGTCGGCGCCCGAGGACATGTCCCCCCCCCCCTCGCCCCCCCCCCCCCTCGCTACGCTACTGTTTCTATGACAAGGAGGCGGGGGAGGGGAAGCGAGGGGTAGGATAATCGTCCTTCACGAGCTACTGATCGTGTTTTAAAATATTTTCGCAGCATTATTAGTGTAAGCCCTGCTAGGGGGGATAACTCGTCTTGTGCCCACCTGATAGCTGCATCCCTTAGGACAATGAAAGTTGCCTTTTGGTCACGGAAGATCATTTCTTTCAGCTGGCGCCTAACAGAGGGTTGGTTGAGGTTCTGCACAAACTGGTCTCGCAGGAAGACTGGACTCATAGGGGCCCTGTGCAGGTTAGTTTGCCTGGCTGTAAGCACCCTAAAGGCTTGGTGCAGACGGTGGAAATAAGACCCCACTGTCTCATTTGGGCCCTGCACCACCCTTTGAAACTGAGCCATCAGTTGGGGGATGCTACGCTTTTCCCCGTAAATGTCCCTCAGGAGTATTAAAGTTGCCTCAGGGTCCTGATCCAGATCATTGCCCCTACATCGAAGCTCCGCTTTAACAGACTCCCCAGGTGCTCCCAGAGGAGGTCATTTCTTTCTTCAGCAGAGAGGTCTTTCCTCGCCCTCCATGCAGCCTGCACCTCTTCAATGAAACGTTCCACCAACGAGGCATGGCTGTCTCCATGGAACCTCTGGATTTTAACCTCTCTGGGTGGCACAATAATGATGTTCATGGGGTGCCCCGCCATCTCGTCCGAATTGGGTGTTTAAACAATCCCTACGCTTCACATAAACTAAACACATATATGGCTCCATGGGGACCTATCAAAAACAAAAAATTAATTAAGCTACACCTAGCCCTAGCAAAAAAAACAAAAATTTACCTAGACTAAAGGACTGACCCTACTCGTGCTACCAATTTGTAAGCCCTGCTGGGGGGGGGGAATAACTATTCTACTACCCTTCTACGCTTATCTAACTAATCAGTCCAGTTCGGTGCAACCGTGGTGAAACCCACGGTGGTTAAATCTTATCCATAACCTTAGTTTAAAATTTAAAAAAAAACTAGATCTACTAAAAATAAAACATCAACTTTAACAATATAATAAAATTTATTTAACAAACTTATGGAGCCAAAACTTATATAAAAACTAGACAAAACATTTTTAAACACAACACTCAAGACATACAAAACAAAAACAGACTTATGGAACAAAGCACCCAATTACGGACCACCGTCCTAGAAAGAGGTGAAATAAACAAATCAATTTAAAATGTAAATAAGATTATATAGCCTATAAGTATAAATGGATCTTGTACAAAATCAATCTTCAACCTCAAATGAGGGGTGACAAGATGAAATCTTAACCATTCACAAGTAATCCACACAGAACACACTTAAACGTAAATATCAGGTCACTGAGCATAAAACTACTGGTTCAAAGCACACAATTATCAGCCTCGACAAGAGGTTCTCATAAAATATGTAAGTAAAATCTAGACATGGATTCTAGATCCATGACTAAAATCTAAACCCAGACCACCATACTACCACGTGGTTTGGATACAACAACAATTGAGACTTCTCAAAGTCGAAGTGACTAAATAGTACGTATTCACTTCGTATACAAAATAAGCAAACTATTAAAAGGAAACCATAATAAAACAATATAAAAATAGCTCTACGTTACCATACACCACATAAATGTGACACAGAAACACTTCAACACACGGGCCTCAACATTCCCGCAGACACAATAACCAGGCTATAAACCATTTTAAAATCAAAATCATATCAGCGCCATAATAGCAAACTACTTAATTAAAAACCACAACAATCCTCAAAGGAACATAAAAAGTGACATTCACCTTTTTGTAATAAAATAATAATTAAATAACTCCCAGCCCCTTACATTACTGAAAAGTAGAAAATAAAACAACTAAATGGCGGTGTATACTTACTTGTTGTTTTTAAATGACTAAATTCATTAAATTCAAGGGGAGAAAAGACGATTATATAAATGCGACTTCTTTATCAGCTACCAATCAACCGTGAACTATTTTTCAGGGAGGGGTGATATTTTGCCCGTGAGCCGACCACGAACTTAAAAGAGGCTATAATTGTGGCCTTGAGCTACTTGTGGTGTTTTAGAGCTGTAAGGGGCATAATCTGCTGTAGCCATCTGATTTGATAGTACCCTGCATGCTCCAATGTTCTGATGCAATTGAAGTTGGTGAAAGTATATAAACTGTATGCGGGTATTGTAAACATTTGTATCTGTACTTTTACGGAACGTTTGGGACTTGAGAAACTTGGATTATCTTTTAATTATAGCCATGCCATCATTATTGAGCTCAAGTGTTGACAGTGTTGTCGTTCTTCTGTCTTTTGTTGTCCTTCGCCCGTCATGGATCGAAATCAGCGATCGAAATTTCAACCACTTCTAATTGACCAATTCGTTTTGACAATTTAGGACAATGTAATCTGAAACTGTAAGTTCCGAATAAACTTATGGTTATATGTTGTTCTTTTTAAGGTTCCAATATCAGTAAAGAAAAATCTGTTTCTTGTAATAAAAAATATACCATTCGGTAAAAATGCGGGTTCCAAATAAAGTACCTTTTTCGGTTAAATTTCGTTTCAGGTTATTTTCCATTTCAGTCTAAATTTCCGGATTCAGTTAAATAGCAGGATCCGATTTCAACCGGTTGTGGATAAAATGTCCAGTTTCATAACTCCCTTCAAGTTAATTTCCGTTTACGGTTAAAATTTACGTTCTGGATAAAGTTTTGTGTTTTGGTTACTGATCAATTTCCTGTACCAGTTCGAAAGCTTAGGTTTAGATTTAGATTTAGGCTGAGGTTGGGATATTGGTTTTGGCTTTGGTTTAGAAAAAAATAATCGCAATTTTCCGTATGGAAATTGCGCTAATCATTTTCAGCCTAGCGCCTGTTGTATTCCATCCAACCCCCACCCCCCACCCCCTACAGGCTATATGTCTAGTTTGTGCTACATGTAAAAGAAAAAAATATTATTCTCTGTATGTTGTAGTATTATTAGGGCTATTTATTTTAAATCTAAATAGCCAACTAAATTACAAATGTTAATGCTGTTAAACCTTTCAGAGTTGTGGATGTCACACTAGCTATGGAGAGCGCTGTGACGTTTCTGAGAGGATGAGGACAAATTAGTTCAGCTTCTTAACAGACAATTGTTGAGCAATGCTCCTTGTCAAATATATTTCTCAACCTGTTCTACGACACAGAGCTTTCAACGGACAATGCTGCTTTCATTTGAGTAATTCTGACCAATGCTAAAGAATAAAATATTGGGGACCCTCAAGAAACTGGGGGACCTAAGTTCTAGCTGGTTTGGATTATATGTAAATCTTGCACAGATTAAATCGAATTGCAAAAATGAACAAAGGAAAAGAAGAAATAATTTAGTTAAAAGGAGTTTTCATGTCAGCGGCGTTAAAAATTGTATTTCACACCATCCAATTGACTCGAGGTTAAAAGGTCAAACAGCTGTTGGCCAATCTCCAGTCTCTACGTGTGGTCTGACCATTGAATTAACCAACCAGTTTCATGCGTCTTATGATCATTAAATATCAAACAACGACACGTAACTCATTCGCTATTAGCTTCTACTCATTTCTGAAGTGGCTGAGGTTGTGTTGGAGAAAATGGTACGGTATCTATTTCTTATAATAAATTGTTGGAATTGGGAAATGTTATGTTTATAATTTAAGTAAATTTGTCAGTATTTTGTTTGAGTTTTCTATATAGCCATAGTCTATGTCATCTTCAGGTCTCCAAAGTTTTTGTGCTAGGTGTCATCACCTACTTACTGGCTCAAGCTTCTGCTCGTACACTTGAGGTTGAGAACGATGATGAAGGCAGTGAGGAAGGGAACAAGTCCTCAGTTGAAAGTAGGGATGCCAAGGGCTCAGCTGAAAGTAGAGCTGCAGAGGGCTCAGGTGAAAGTACGTCTACAAAGTCCTCGGTCGAAAGTAGTGCTACAAAGTCCTCAGCTGAAAGTAGAGCTGCAGAGGGCTCAGATGAAAGTAGGTCTACAAAGTCCTCGGCCGAAAATAGTGCTACAAAGTCCTCAGCTGAAAGTAGAGCTGCAGAGGGCTCAGATGAAAGTAGGTCTACAAAGTCCTCGGCCGAAAATAGTGCTACAAAGTCCTCAGCTGAAAGTAGGTCTACAAAATCCTCAGCTAAAAGTAGAGCTACAAATTCCCCAGCTAAAACTAGGGCTGCAGAGGGCTCAGATGAAAGTAGTGCTACAAAGTCCTCAGCTGAAAGTAGAGCTGCAGAGGGCTCAGATGAAAGTAGGTCTACACAGTATTCAGCTAAAAGTAGGTCTACAAAGTCCTCAGCTAAAAGTAGGTCTACAAAGTCCTCAGCTAAAAGTAGGTCTACAAAGTCCTCAGCTGAAAGTAGTGCTACAAAGTCCCCAGCTGAAACTAGGGTTGCAAAGGGCTCACATGAAAGTAGGTCTACAAAGTCCTCAGCTAAAAGTAGGTCTACAAAGTCCTCAGCTGAAAGTAGTGCTACAAAGTCCCCAGCTGAAATTAGGGCTGCCAAGGGCTCAAGAAAAGCCAACAAGCCCTTATTTAAAATGAGTGCTGAAGATGAAAGGGAAGAAGATGAAAGTGAAGAAGATAAAAGTAAATATGAAAGTAAAGATGAAGAAAACTCAAACGAAAGTGAGGGCGAAGATGAAACAAAAGAATCATCATCATCCAAATCTAATGAGGAAGAAGAAGAGATAGATTATGATTGCGAAGTGAATGGGAAGACACACAAGGACGGCGAAACCTTCACTCTTCCAGAATCTAATTGTATCAAGTACAAGTGTGAAAAAGGCGAATTCGCCATCCAGGAAGAAGGTTAGTATATTGTGTTGTATCATTAACGAGTTGTTTTGTATTAGGGTCAAATAGAGTAATATCAAGTACCAAACAGAGATGTACAACATAAATATTCTAATAAACTTCTGTGCTTCCCCGTTTTGGGCAAGAGTGGTATGTAAACCAACAAAACAAAACATAACAAAAATATCATGTCAATTTTTACTTGTGACACTGAATACTCTGTAGCAAATAAAACCTAATCAAAGAAAGAATGGTAAGTATTGCAAACAATGTGTGCACTAGCATTCAACACCTGACATTTTTATCTTGTGAATTTCCAGGCTGTGAACACAAGGGTGAGTGCTATAAAGCAAACAGCAAGTTTGATAAAGATTGTGTCACGTACAGTTGTGTGAAAACAACGAAAGATGACACAAGCTACTTTTCTCTTCATGCCGAAACTATCCGTAAGTTAACAAATCTTTCTACAATAGTGTCAATTTTGTGGCTACGCAAATATACACCTTTTTAATTAAATTAAATTTTATTTTCACTATTAATAATTGATTTAAACATTAGAAAAAAATTCAAATGTAATAAATCGTCCCAGAATGCAAAGACGGAAAGGGAAAATGTCACAAGAGTGGAACGCATTTCAAAAACACAATAAAAAATGTCAAGTACAAGAAATGTACGTGCAACGTTGTAGGGAATATGGCAAAAGTGTCCTGCAAAAATTAACTACAATTCATGAAAAGGAAATGACTCTTGTGTTGATTTGAAAATAAATTAAAGAATAAAATGCTTGCAAATCTTTAATGAACGATGGATTTATTTTTTATTTTTTTATTTTTTCGTTTTACTTTTGCACGAATTATTTCACTGTTTCTCGGTATCCGTTTTTGTGTCTGTGGTCTATGACAATTAACCAAATTAAATTAACCCCAGTCATATGTGTCTGCAGTGTTTCTTCCAGACTTTTTTCCGTGGGGCGGGGGGGTGTGCACTTGAAATTAATAGGGGGTTGGGGCGGACTAAATTTTCCGGGCGGGGACGGTATATATATATATATATATATATATATATATATATATATATATATATATATATATATATATATATATATATATATATATATGTGTGTGTGTGTGTGTGTGTATGTATATAAAGCAATGTGTGTGTCTTTTATGCACTACTACACCTTTCATCGAATCTCCATGAAACTTTGAGAAGTTGTTTAGAATAGTCCTGGGGAGGTTCCCACGAAAAAAAAAATTAATTTCAAATTCGCAGGGCAGGCGCCCCATTAGGGTTTGATTCGATTCTTCTCTATATACGGTATACAAAATATAAAAGTCGATTGCAGTTTCACACCGTTCATGCGAGTGTCATGAAACTTTGGGGAATAAATGAGAATACTCCCAAGAAGATTTCTGCGAAAATGAAAATGAAAATTTTTTATGGGCCGCACCGTGGAGGGTGCGATTTCGTCAATACACGGTTTGGCGCCCAAAGTTCTAGAGCGGCCCTGTTGGCATTTGGCATAAGTGAATTGGGCATCCTGCATAGCGGCTAAGGAATACTACTATATTGCTGTAAAACTGCAACAAGCAATTGCGCAACCAGGGTTCCCCTGCGGAGCATTATGGCGCCTACGTTAGTTAAAAAAAGCCATACACCAAAGACACAATTGACAGTTAACAATAACAGTTAACTATATCGAACCTGTCGCGTCTTTTGACGCCCCTGCAGGTTTCGATTTAGCGCCCTGGGCTTTTCCGTGAACGCAATGGTGCCTACGTTTGTTCTAAACATTGCGATAGACAATGAATTAGATGGGGCCTTACAGTCACTCACCAAATTGAACCGGGTGCGTCCGCTGGCGCCCCGACAGGGTGCTATTTTGCGCCATTGGTTATCATGTTAGCACCATGGCGCTTACGTTAGTTTTAAGGAATCAGGGGCAGAACGCGGCACCCCTGCGGTAGTGTAATCGGGGCTCCCGCGAACCATGACGTTCACTAAAGTCTGTGCTACCTAATTATTACGGTTAGTGATTAGCGTGCACTCAAGGTTTCATGCGGTAGTGTTTGTCAACACATGTCCCGTTAAAAAAAGATCCCAGCGTAGGCATTGTTTACATATAAATAACTCAGTTTTAGAAAACAAGGTCACATGTCTAAGAATATAGGATAAGTAACACAATGATGAAACCCTCTATAAAAAATATTACGTCATACTTTATTCTATCCCAACGGCAACGCGCGGGGAACAGCACGCTAATCTATATATATAAAGCAAAGTGGTCGGGTGCCCGTTAGGGCACTTCCCGGCGCCGCAGGCGCGTCAAATTTGGCACGAAGGTGCCTTGGGGCGATAGAACACGACGGCCGGTAACGGTTGGCCGAAACGTCTACGGACAGGGGGTCAAAGCTGACCTCGACTGACCGGCGCCTTATATGGGCTATATTACGAAAAAAAATTTCCTCCGACGACCCCCCTTGATATTTTGTGAGGTGGTAGAAGAACACCTAGGGGTGTCACAAAAAACTCGGCATATCTGGGAAAACTTCGTAAAGCGGTCAAAACTGACCAGTTGTATTTCCCTATATAATCTTTGTATTTTATGGGGAAAAAAGAGGGTCATTTCAACGCAGACTTTAGGGTACTTAAGCTCAGTATATCTGGCTAATTTTTTGCATGCTCCTAGGTCAATGGCTTGACCTTTAGGGAAAACTGTCGGTTTCACTCAAAGCCCTCGACGAGGGCTAAAAAGTGACCGCGAGTGAAATTCTCTTTATATGAGCTCTATTACGAAAAAAAATTTCCTCCGACGACCCCCCTTGATATTTTGTGAGGTGGTAGAAGAACACCTAGGGGTGTCACAAAAAACTCGGCATATCTGGGAAAACTTCGTAAAGGGGTCAAAACTGACCAGTTGTATTTCCCTATATAATCTTTGTATTTTATGGGAAAAACAGAGGGTCTTTTCAACGCAGACTTTAGGGTACTTAAGCTCAGTATATCTGGCTAATTTTTTGCATGCTCCTAGGTCAATGGCTTGACCTTTAGGGAAAACTGTCGGTTACACTCAAAGCCCTCGACGAGGGCTAAAAAGTGACCGCGAGTGAAATTCTCTTTATATGAGCTCTATTACGAAAAAAAATTTCCTCCGACGACCCCCCTTGATATTTTGTGAGGTGGTAGAAGAACACCTAGGGGTGTCACAAAAAACTCGCCATATCTGGGAAAACTTCGTAAAGCGGTCAAAACTGACCAGTTGTATTTCCCTATATAATCTTTGTATTTTATGGGAAAAACAGAGGGTCTTTTCAACGCAGACTTTAGGGTACTTAAGCTCAGTATATCTGGCTAATTTTTTGCATGCTCCTAGGTCAATGGCTTGACCTTTAGGGAAAACTGTCGGTTACACTCAAAGCCCTCGACGAGGGCTAAAAAGTGACCGCGAGTGAAATTCTCTTTATATGAGCTCTATTACGAAAAAAAAATTCCTCCGACGACCCCCCTTGATATTTTGTGAGGTGGTAGGAGAACGCCTTGGGGTGTCACAAAAAACTCGGCATATCTGGGAAAACTTCGTAAAGGGGTCAAAACTGACCAGTTGTATTTCCCTATATAATCTTTGTATTTTATGGGAAAAACAGAGGGTCATTTCAACGCAGACTTTAGGATACTTAAGCTCAGTATATCTGGCTAATTTTTTGCAATCTCCTAGGTCAATGGCTTGACCTTTAGGGAAAACTGTCGGTTACACTCAAAGCCCTCGACGAGGGCTAAAAAGTGACCGCGAGTGAAATTCTCTTTATATGAGCTCTATTACGAAAAAAAATTTCCTCCGACGACCCACCTTGATATTTTGTGAGGTGGTAGGAGAACGCCTTGGGGTGTCACAAAAAACTCGCCATGTCCGGGAAAAATCGGGAAATGGGTCAAAACTGACCAGTCGTATTTCCCTATATAATCTTTGTATTTTATGGGGAAAACAGAGGGTCATTTCAACGCAGACTTTAGGATACTTAAGCTCAGTATATCTGGCTAATTTTTTGCATGCTCCTAGGTCAATGGCTTGACCTTTAGGGAAAACTGTCGGTTACACTCAAAGCCCTCGACGAGGGCTAAAAAGTGACCGCGAGTGAAATTCTCTTTATATGAGCTTTATTACGAAAAAAAAATTCCTCCGACGACCCCCCTTGAAATTTTGTGAGGTGGTAGGAGAACGCCTTGGGGTGTCACAAAAAACTCGCCATGTCCGGGAAAAATCGGGAAATGGGTCAAAACTGACCAGTCGTATTTCCCTATATAATCTTTGTATTTTATGGGAAAAACATAGGCTCATTTCAAAACGGATTTTAGGGCACTTACCCTCTTTACATCTGGCTAATTTTTTGCATACTCTTAGGTAAATGGCTTGACCTTTAGGGAAATCTGTCGGTTTCACTCAAAGCTCTCGACGAGGGCTAAAAAGTGACCGCGAGTGAAATTCTCTTTATATGAGCTCTATTACGAAAAAAAATTTCCTCCGACGACCCCCCTTGAAATTTTGTGAGACGTTAGGAGAACGCCCTGGGGTGTCAAAAAAAACTCGGCATATCTGGGAAAAATCGGGAAATGGGTCAAAACTGACCAGTCGTATTTCCCTATATAATCTTTGTATTTTATGGGAAAAACATAGGGTCATTTCAAAACGGCTTTTAGGGCACTTACCCTCTTTACATCTGGCAAATTTTTTGCATACTCTTAGGTAAATGGCTTGACCTTTAGGGAAAACTGTCGGTTTGACTCAAAGCCCTCGACGAGGGCTAAAAAGTGACCGCGAGTGAAATTCTCTTTATATGAGCTCTATTACGAAAAATTTTTTCCTCCGACGACCCCCCTTGAAATTTTGTGAGGTGGTAGGAGAACGCCTTGGGGTGTCACAAAAAACTCGCCATGTCCGGGAAAAATCGGGAAATGGGTCAAAACTGACCAGTCGTATTTCCCTATATAATCTTTGTATTTTATGGGAAAAACAGAGGGTCATTTCAAAACGGATTTTAGGGCACTTACCCTCATTACATCTGGCTAATTTTTGGCATGTTTATAGGTAAATGGCTTAGTCGTAGGGCAGACCTGTCAGTTTCACTCAAAGCCCTCGACGAGGGCTAAAAAGTGACCGCGAGTGAAATTCTCTTTATATGAGCTCTATTACGAAAAAAAATTTCCTCCGACGACCCCCCTTGAAATTTTGTGAGGTGTTAGGAGAACGCCTTGGGGTGTCACAAAAAACTCGGCATATCTGGGAAAAATCGGTAAAAGGGTCAAAACTGACCAGTCGTATTTCCTTATATAATCTTTGTATTTTATGGGAAAAACATAGGGTCATTTGAAAACGGCTTTTAGGGCACTTACCCTCTTTACATCTGGCTAATTTTTTGCATACTCTTAGGTAAATGGCTTGACCTTTAGGGAAAACTGTCGGTTTGACTCAAAGCCCTCGACGAGGGCTAAAAAATGACCGCGAGTGAAATTCTCTTTATATGAGCTCTATTACGAAAAAAATTTTCCTCCGACGACCCCCCTTGATATTTTGTGAGGTGGTAGAAGAACGCCTTGGGGTGTCACAAAAAACTCGGCATATCTGGGAAAACTTCGTAAAGGGGTCAAAACTGACCAGTTGTATTTCCCTATATAATCTTTGTATTTTATGGGAAAAACAGAGGGTCATTTCAAAGCGGATTTTAGGGCACTTACCCTCTTTACATCTGGCTAATTTTTTGCATACTCTTAGGTAAATGGCTTGACCTTTAGGGAAATCTGTC